AATGGGGTTATATCTTTCCTATGGGTAGACCTAACAAGTTCAAGGTGGGTCAGGTGTTGGTTGGGAGGTTGATATTGAAGTTGGACACAGGAATGAGCTTTGGAGGACCCCAACAGCTGTAATTCCTGGGGTTCCTCTGGTGCTCGAGGCAGGGTCTTGGTCCACCCATCCCAAGTGTCTACTGGATTGGGTTTCTTATCTGTGTATGGGAATTCATTTGCTGCTAAGGAATCCCTACCAGGCACGTTGACAGCAGGTTGTCCACGCTGCCCATGGACAGGCAGAGACTCTTGCTGTAAGTCTTGGCCAGTGTGACCCACCTGTTCTGGCTGGGCTGAGGGACAATCCATGCAGCAGCTGATGGAAAGGTGAGCAGCATCCAAAATCCTGTCTGGAACAGTTGGGGATTCCCTGCCAGCGGAGACGTGGCAGGATGCTTGGGGGAGAGTTGATCTGGGAGTTTGAAAAAATGGATTTTTAGATTTATACGACTTTAACAGCCCCTCATATCTTCCCATCTTTTCCCCTACGTTTTTACTGAGTAGAAAAGGGGAGGGAAAACAAGAGGGGATGACAGTAAAACCAACTAAAGAGGGGTAGCAGTAAAACCAACTAAAGAGGGGTAGCAGTGCAAAACAGCGAGCGAATGAAACTCAACAGAGAGTCTTGTTATCTTCTGGAGCAGTGCAGAGTCATTTTCTGTGTTTACACTCTTTTTCCTTCTCTCCTCCTGAGCTTGATCTCTTTGCTGTCTCTGAGGTCCAGGAGGAGTGTCTCTGGATGCTGCTGCATGTGGCAGTTTGATGTTCAGCTTGATATTCCTGCCTGGAATCCACCTTGGGCCAGATCCTCTAGATATGCAAGCATAGTCTCTCCCCCAAGTAATTAATTTAAATGGCCCATTATTTGTTTGGATTCAGGGTCTTTGATCAGCACAGGGGTTTCTCGGTGAGCTGAGCTCTGTGCATGTTGGAAACGTGCCTGACAGTGGGGGGATTTGGCTCCATTAATGAATTATTAAGAAAATTGATGACATAAAGAGCCTTACATAATCTTTCTACATTCGGTAGTGTTCCAACTCCCCCGTGCTGCTGATCAAGGACTCTCTTGAGTGTACAGTGAGCCCTCTCTACAGCAGATTGCCCTGTTGGTGAGTGGGGAATGCCAGTGGTGTGTTTCACCCCCCATTGATCTGGGATCATTGAAACTTTTGGAGGTGTAAGCAGGACCATTATCTGTTTGGAGAATGCCTAGGGTGGAAAACGCTAGGAGGAAATGTTGGATGACAGCTTTTGTCTTTTCCCCTGCATGGGCTGATGCAAATACTGCTCCAGAGAACGTTATCTGTGGACACATGAATGTATTTTTGTCTTCCAAAAGGTGCATAATGTGTGACATCTGTTTGCCACAATTGTAAACTTTTGAGGCCTTGGGGGTTCACCCCGGCCCTCATGGAGACCAAAGCAAACTCCTGGCAATTGGGGCAGGGCCCACAATTGCTCTTGCTTGTTCCCTTGTGATTTTAAACATCCAGACAAGGGCTGGTGCATTTTGGTAAAAAAACTGATGGCTCAATTTAGCCTGATTAAAAATGTCTGGAAGGGTGGTCTGCACTGCCATGGCTAAAATATCTGCCCTCCAGTTGCCTTCAGTGACTGGTCCTGGGAGGTCAGGGTGTGACCTCACGTGCATAATGTGAGGTGGGAGAGGAGGTTTGTTAACTTTGAGAGCAAGCCTTATAAATCTGGATTTGGCACTTCCTTTAACAAGGAGTGTTCTGCTCTTTCAGCTGTCCCACCAACATGGGCCGAATCAGTAACTAAATTTAAGGGTTGTTTGAATTTCTCAAAGGCTCTGACAACGGCTGCTAATTCTGCAATTTGTGGGGATCCTCGAGCAATCTGAACATCAGACCCCCGCTCCTGAGTGTCAGGATTCTTCCACCTCATAACTGACTTGTGGGATCCCCCTGAACCATCAGTGAATACAGTCTGTGCCTTTAGAGGAGCTCTACTTTTTCATGAATTTGGGACCAAATTAAAGCAAGCATTAAATAGTTCATGTTTTGGTAGGTGGATGGAGATTTGGCCTGGGTAGCTGTCCAGAGTGAACCGGAGGTGCTCCTTGGTTTGGAGCAAAGGTTCTAGGCTGTTTAATGTCACTGGAAGGTACATGGCTGTGAATTCACACCCTGCGAGGGTCCTGAGGGGAGCTCTGGCCTTTATGGTAAGCTGGGCCATAAGCTCCTGAGGTGCTGAGATGGTCTTACTGGGTTTGTGTGATGGAAACACCCACTCTGTGATGAGGAGCTGGTCTCTCAGAGTGGCATCCCCTGGAAAAGGAGCCCATGGAACTTGGGTGACCTCCCCAGGGTGACAAACTGGAAAGGCAGGGTGGGATCAGTGGTGGGCTTGTGTCGTGGACAGTGCCTCTGATCCCTTCTGGATCACTGCACGGGCCTCCAGTGTGATGGTGCCTGGGGAGGCGAGGCCATCAGGGCCTCTCAGGAGGTTGAAAAGGGGTGACAAGTCCTCAGTCCTGATCCCTAGCAGTGGACAAACCCAGCTGATGCTCCCACGTAGCTGATGAAGGCCCCTCAGGGTCCCTGGGTTGTCCTGGATGGTGAGCTGCTGGGGCACGGTGGTCCTTTCTCTGATTCAGAGTCCAAGGTAGGTCCACGGGCTGCATCTTCTCTGTAGCAGTTTCAAATCCTGCTCCTTCAATGGCCTGGACAGTTTGTTTGAGAACACCTCCAAGGAAGAGTCAGTCTCAGTGCATGTAAGGATATCATCCATGTAGTGAAGAATTCCGGCATCTGGGAACTTTTCCCCAATGGACGAGAGAATGTGGGCAACAAACATTTGGCAGATGGCTCGTGAGTCTTCATCCCTTGAGAAAGAACTTGCGTTGATACCTTTTGAGAGGGGCTTGTCTATTCATTGATGGCACAGAAAATGCAAGTCTTGGGGCAGCTCTAGGATGGAGTGGGAAATTAAAAAAACAATCCTTAATATCAGTGACTGCCAATTTCCAGTCTCGGGAGCATTGAAGGTGAGGGCAGGCCAGGCTGTAAAGAGCTCGTGTCTTCAGTGACCTCATTGACCTTTCTGAGGTCTTGCAGGAGCCTCCACTTGTCTTTGCCTGGTTTATGAATGACAAAGACAGGGGTGTTCCAAGGGCTAGTGCATGGTACTCTGTGGCCCTTAGATTGCTGTTTCTGCACTAGGGATTCCAGCACCTTTGGTTTGACTTCTGCCAGGAGCCACTGTTCCACCCAAATGGGATCATCCAATTTCCATGTGAGTGGTGAGGTGGGGCTCTCGACAGTGGCCTCAGCTGGAAATCCTGTGGGTGTGAAGGGATTTCTAGTCTGCTTCCCCATTGTCCCTGCCCCACACAATGACAGGTGCCTTTGCCACTAAAGGTCTCACCGTGGCAATTTGACCCTCAGGACCTTCAGTAAGGACTGACCTTTTACTCCACACAGAGGTGGCAGCTGCTCCAGTCCCAGAGATGCCTCCACTGGCTGGCACCAGTTCCCAGCCCTGTGCCCACTTGGAGTGAGCAATGGTGGTGACATCTGACCCGGTGTCAGCCACACCTGGAAGAGAAACTTTGGTACCTTTGTTAGACAAGCCACACTCTATAAGAGCTCTGCCTTGGCAGAGCATCTCTGGCCAAAAAACCATAGGATTTTCTGGCAAAACATCAGCCCAGGTGGGTACAAGAAAAGTTTGGGTACAGGTGTGCCCTTAGTCAGGTGCCAGGGTGGGTCTGTACCTATTACAGTCACAGTGACCTCATCCATTGGCCCACAGTCTGGGCTTCTGGGAGCACCTGTAACTCATTAACGGTGTCTCCTGTGATTAAAACTTCTCCTGGTCCATCAGGAGGTCCAGGTTTAGCAGCTGGAGTTCAGCAGATCACCTCCTCTTGGATTCAGCAGAAAGGGCCCTCACCAGCATTCTCTGTGTCCCTGCCTGTTGTGATAAGGCACGAAATGATGACACAGACACTGCTCTCTCGAGGGGAACAAAAAAGAAGCTTTATTTTCTGACTCTAACATTTATAGTTTTCCAAAGGTGACAGTGGATTGGAGGGTGACAGTGCCACCTCTCCAATGCCACTGGACAGACCAAGAGTCCATCAATTCTCTCCACCTCCAGGAAAGAATGCAAAACATAGGTTATTTACAGAACTGTGTGTGAGAAAGTTTGTTGAAAGAATGTAAACATCAGAAGGCTTAACAAAGTCTTACAAAATCAGGGCGACACCTGCCTGGCCACGTTGGTAGGCCTGGGAGAGTCAGCACCCTTCCTCATAGCTGGTGGTGTCACAGAGGGCTTCTGGGTGCCTTGATGCTCTGAGGTGGTGGGAAAAGAGGGACAAAACGGCGCAAAAGAAAGATCTTGCAGGAGTGTGGCTGAGTCGGCCAGCCCTCGAGGTCTTGAGAGTTGTCAGTTGGCCCCTCAGAAATTCCCCAGAACGTTGGGGTTTTTTCCCTTGGGGAACTGGAGCACTTGGCTGCAAATTAAAACCCAGGACTGGCCAGTGGAGACACTGCCAAAGGGCTAAGGAGAAGCCCCACGGTCAGGGCGCCAGCTTGTAGCAGTGTGGGGTTTAGAGGGTGGAAGCTGCTGCCTGATTCCCAAGAAGCATCTCCTGTGGAAAGGCTGCTTGGGTAGGAATTCAGGCAAGGCAGTCAAGTCCACTTTTTTTGTTTGGTTGGGTTTTTGTGGGTTTTTTAAATTTTTTGTGTGTTTTTTGTTTTTTTTTTTTTTTTTTTTTTTTTTTGGGGGTTTTTTTGGGGTTTTTTTTTTTTTTGTTTTTTTTTTTTTTTTTGGGGTTTTTTGGGGTTTTTTTTTGGTTTTTTTTTGTTTTTTGTTTTTTTTTTTTTTTTGTTTGTTTGTTTGTTTTGGGGTTTTTTTTGGGTTTTTTTTTGTTTTGGTTTTTTTTTTGTTCTTTTTTGGTTTTTTGTTGGGTTTTTTTCCCTGCCAGATCCCATTTCTTCTAGAGTTGTGGCTGCTGGAGCCCAGCAGGCACAGAACAGCAGGGAGGGGTTTGTCCCTGATCTCCTGGGGACAGCTAGAGGGGCTGGCGGTGGCAGGACAGCCCTGTCCCCGCCGTGAGGGGCTGGAGGAGCCCCCCAGTCTGTGCAAAGGTGGGATGTGCTCCGTGTGGGGCTCCAGGAGCAGCAGGGAGCGGGGACAGCCCAGTCCCAGCTGTGTCCCTGCCGTCCCCACCGCGCTGGCTCAGCCGCTGGCGCTGTCCTCGCTGTCCTCGCTGTCCTCGTAGGCTCCCAGCAAACCCAGCGAGGACACGGCTGCTGCGGCTGGAAGCGAGCCGGTGGTGGCCGTGGTTCCTGGGGTTTCCATCCCGTTATCCAGGGCAGGACGTGGCTTCTGCTTCCTGCGGGCCACCAGCCCTGCCAGCCGGGCCCTGGAGCTGAGCTTGCCCGCGCTGCGCTCCCAGCTCTCCGTCCTCGGCCTCTTGCCCCGGGGGCCCTCCCGCAGGACGGCTGCGGGTTTTCTTTGGGCTGCGGGATTTGGACGGCGCTCTGCCGGTTCCTCGTCAGAGTCGGAATCCACCAGCAGCCGGCGGTCCTGGGCCTGCTGCAACATGGCCTTCACCTCCTGCTCGTCCTCCTCCTGCTCCTTGCGCCTCTGCTCCTCCTCCAGCTCCTTGTACTGCTTCAGCATGGCCTCAAAGTCCACGTTGGCCTGGCGCTGGTTGAGCTCCTTCAGCTCCTCCAGGTTCTCCAGGATCTCCATCTCCAGCTTGGAGTCCTTGATTCGGTTCTCCAGGACCTTCATGGGATTGTTGAGCTCCTCCTCTTCCCTCTCCTTCTGCATCCTCTTCTCCTCCTCCTCCAGGAGCTTCTCTGCCTGGAAGTTCCTGGTGGCGCCGTGCTCCGCAGTGTAATCCGTGTTCTTGGGGTCTGTCTTGAAGGTGATCTCGGCCAGGCAGCGCGGGCACTTGATGTAGAAGCGGAAGATGGGCAGCCCCAGGTAGGATTCGTTCTGCACCGTCTCCTTGCGGGCGTTGAACTTCCTGCCCTTGTAGATGTACTCCCCACACTTCTTGCACCTCATGTTGAAGGGGGCCATGAGCCTCACCACGTACTGCCGGTCCTTCGGGAGCTTCAGCTTCGGGATCTTGGCAGGATCGAAGTCCGGGGGGTAATATTTGTTCAGCACTTTCCGCTCCGCCATGGCTGCGGCTTCTCCCGCTCCCCGCGCCGCTCACCCAGCGGGGCACCTTGTGCAGCGGGGGTTTAGATGGTGCAAGTGCTGCCGAATTCCCAAGAGGGCTCTTGGCTTGGTTTGGAAAGCCAGGCGGCTGCTAAGGAAGGCAGGAGCCTCCCCTGAAATGGAAAATGGAAAGGGAATGCAGAGGGCAAAGGCTGCTGTGGGCTCTAGATCTCAGATTATATCCAGGTAGGAATGCTTGGCTCCTCCCCTGGGCAGAGCATCTCCCAATGGGGTGATGGAATTTTATCAGTGTGACTCAATGGCCCATTGACGAAGATAATTAATAATTAATGGCCCATTAATGACAGAAGATCTTTCCCAGAGGGAGGATTGGCTGTGGAATAGATAAAGAAAACTGCCCCATGAACAGCAGAGAGCTGCCCCACATCTAAGAGATGGCAAATAGAATACACACCCCCAGGTAAATCTTTCAACTGAAGACACATCTCCTGTGGAAAAGGAGTGCCCTGCTTGGGCAGGAATTCAGGCAAAGCAGTCGAGTCCACACACCACACTCACCAGGGCTAGCTCATCCAAGAGAGGCAAGAAGGGCCTTTTTATGAGAAATTCCAGCGAGGTTTATTCCAGCAGGCTGAAGGGAAATCGGGGACAAAAGATGAGACCATGTGCTCTGCATCATCTTGGTGGCACAAAGGGCAGGGCAGAGGGCACTGCCCTGCAGGGAAGGAGGGGCAGGCACCAGGGATGGCACAACCTGTGGGGAAACAGGGAAAGGAGGAACCCCAGAATTTGGGACATACGGGGAAGGCAGGCTGGGAGGATCAGTGCTGTGAGGCTCCATGGGGAAGTCTTCTCTTTCAGCCTCCGTGGGGAAAACTCTGGTAGATCTTTCCAGGGTGAAGCCTGGAGGTTTCAAAGGATTGCACACCTGACTGACCTGGCTGAACTGGAGCTGCTGTGGAAGGGGATAGGAAGGATGTTCCCTCCCTCATCCTGCCAGGATTTTGGCTGGAGAAGGTGCCTGTGCAGGCAGAGGGGCAGTTGGGGTGGGATTTCAACATGAAAGGCATCTTCTCCTTCTTCTCTACCTCCCAAAGTCACTGTGTTCTTTTAAAACCTCCCTGCTCTTTCCTTTACTTGCTTCAGTGCAGACCATGACTTGGAAGAATGGTGCCTTTTGCCACAGGCCAGCAGCAGATTCCTGCCCCAGAAAGGCTCTGCAGCCCAGTCCTCAGTCCCACACCACCTGCCTGGGCCAGGTTCCTCCTCTGTTTCCTTCTCACCCAAGAAAAGGGAGTTAATTGTCACCCACGGGCAGCAGAGCCTCCCCACCAGCTGTGCAGGTGCCCTGGCTCCTCCAGGAGTTCTGCACAGCAGGGAAGGGCAGGCTGAGCATCCCAAGCTGAAATACAGCTGGAGACAGACAGAGTTGGGTCAGGAGAAACGGAGCTCTGGTTTGTCCAAGCCTTGGAGCACGGCACGAGCAGGAGGAGGAGGAGGAGGAGGATGTGTTCCTTGGGAGAACAGCAGCCATGAACCTCCCACTCCTTCCTGCCTCTCCCCTCGTGGGAAATACCTGAGCTGTGCACTGCTCCAGCTGCTCCTCCTGTTTCTGCTCCTCCTCCCTCGGTGTGCCTGCGGTGGGATGGGTGTCCAAGGGAAGGTGTTACTCCTGTTCCAGAAAGTGCCAGGAACCTCTGTGCCTGCAGGGTCACATCCCATGGCCTGGCAGCCCAGCCCCTCTCTGGGTGTGTGCAGGGTCACATCCCATGGCCTGGCAGCCCAGCCCCTCTCTGGGTGCCCAGCCGTGTCCCTGTGAGCTGCAGCAGCCAGGGAGGAGCTGTGGGCACTGGGCATGCAGCAGGGCACGGGAATGAGTGCTGGGCCAAGGGAGAGAACTCCTGAGGCGGGCATTAACGGGGAGGTGCAGAGCCAACATCTCCCACCTCTGGCTCCCACGCTCACAAATCCTGCTCTTGGCCCCGTGCCCCTGCAGGGACGGCTGCTGCTGCTCCCCACACAAGTGCCAATGTTTATATGGATGCCACGGCCCCTCCCTCCCCCTCTCCCTCCTCTCCCGTCGTGTCTCACCGCCTCCCTCAGCCCCCTCTGCCTTAGTCAGCTCTGCCTTGCTTTGCTCCAAAAGCCTGAACGTTTTGCACTTGAATATCAAAAGTTACTCTCAGAGCTCAGCAGGCTGTGCCAGGTGTGCAGCCCTGCCAGCTATAGGTGCTTCCACATCTGTTTGCAGCAATACCTGTCCTGTTCCCAGCAATGCCTGTTCTGTTCCTAGAAATACCTGTCCTGTTCCCAGCAATACCTGTTCTGTTCCTAGAAATACCTGTTCTGTTCCTAGAAATACCTGTCCTGTTCCCAGCAATACCTGTCCTGTTCCTAGAAATACCTGTTCTGTTCATAGAAATACCTGTTCTGTTTGCAGCAATGCCTGTCCTGTTCCTAGAAATACCTGTCCTGTTCCCAGCAATGCCTGTTCTGTTTGCAGCAATGCCTGTTCTGTTCCTAGAAATACCTGTTCTGTTCCTAGAAATACCTGTCCTGTTCCTAGAAATACCTGTTCTGTTTGTAGAAATACCTGTTCTGTTCCCTGCAATATCTGTTCTATTCCCTCATCTCCTGTTCCCAGCAATTCCCGTTCCCTCCTCTCCTGCCTTTCCAGCAATGGGTGCTTCCACGTTTCCTGCCTTTCCAGCAATACCTGTTCTGTTCTCTCACCTCCAGCCTTTGCAGCAATTTTGTTCTATTCCCTCATCTCCTGTTTCCAGCAATACCTGTTCCCTCATCTCTTGCCTTTCCAGCAATTCCTGTTCTATTCCTTCACCTCCTGCCTTTCCAGCAATGGGTGCTTCCATAGCTCCCATTTCCAAGCAATATCCTCCACCTCCTGCCTTTCCAGAAATTCCCGTTCCCTCCTCTCCTGCCTTTCCAGCAATGGGTGCTTCCACACTTCCTGCCTTTCCAGCAATTCCTGTTCTGTTCCCTCACCTCCTGCCTTTCCAGCAATGGGTGCTCCCGTATCTCCCATTTCCAGCAATACCTGCTCCTTCCATCCCCAGCCTTTCCAAGAACACGTGTTCCCTCCTCTCCTGCCTTTCCAGAAATTCCTGTTCCCTCACCTCCTGCCTTTCCAGCAATGGGTGCTCCCGTATCTCCCATTTCCAGCAATACCTGCTCCTTCCATCTCCTGCTTTTCCAAGGACACGTGTTCCCTCCTCTCCTGCCTTTCCAGAAATTCCTGTTCTATGCCCTCATCTCCTGTTTGTAGAAATTCCCGTTCCCTCCTCTCCTGCCTTTCCAGCAATGGGTGCTTCCACACTTCCTGCCTCTCCAGCAATACCTGTTCTGTTCCCTCACCTCCTGTCCTTCCAGCAATAGGTGTTTCCTCATCCCCAGCCTTTCCAGCAGCTCCTGCCCCTCACCCCCACCCCTCCCAGCCCCAGGGCAGGCTGTGCCGGGCTCGGGCTCCCTGGTTCTGGCTGCAGAAGGGTGGAGCAGCGGTGGATGCTCCGTGGGTGTCCCCGTGTCCAGCAGGTCCCTCCCTGTGTTTGGAAAGGTGTCTTACTGATGCTCCTGCCTCTGTTCTCTGTCTCCCCACCCCGCTGGGCTGACGATTTGGGGTTCCCCACTCAGCACACAGATTTTGTTCTGTGCAGGAGAGCAGCACAGCAGCACTGGGGTCTGTGGTGTTGGTGTTAAACCCTCCCCTTCCCGAGGGAATGGGTGTGGGGACCTAAATGCTTCCGCAGAGAGGGAGGGGATGAGGGAGAGAACTGGGGAAATGTTCTCAATTTGCCCATCTGGGATTTATCTCTGTGTTCAGTGACTGAATCTCCTATTTAGTGATTAATTGGGGTCCCAGGGGCAGGAGCAGCGTTCCTGCTCCGTGTCCCTGAGCTCTGTCCCTCTCTGCTGAGCCCGGCACACCCCCAGGGTTTTCTGGGCCAGCAGCAGCTTCTCCCTGTTCTGTTTTACCCCCGGCCATAACAAGCCCTGTGCTTTTGCCTTTCTGCTGGAGTTTGTTTTTCCATCTCGAGCTGCTCCACGAGGCCGCAGCAGGGTGCTGTGCTCTGCCTCTGCCGCCAGCCCACAGCTGAGTTTTTGCTTCTCAACAGCTTTGGCCAATTTCTTCTCCCCTTGCCTGGTCCTCCTGGCCAGGAGAGCCACCAAGGTTTATCCTCAAACTGGAACGAACCCGAGGGATGTGGATTCTCCAGTGTGACGTGGACTCAGCCTTGTCTGGGAGGGAACCTCAGTTTGGGGTTAAAACCATGGAAAAGCATCCCCAGGTGGGAGAAGCGTTGGGGTTTGGAGTTGTTGGTTTCCCTGTTCTTCACGTCCGCAGGAAGTGGGTTCTGTGTGTCTCATGTTTTAAGAGTTGCAACTAATGTTTATAAAGAGCTTGTTATTTACGTTTTAAGCACTTTAAAAAAAAAAAATAAAAGTTGTTCAAGCTGTTCCTAGACACTTCTGATTCATTGACAACAGCGTCTGTGCTGACGGCGCCTGGACACTGAGTGACATTTCTGTTTATCTGCTGCAGGAGGAGCAGGAGGAGGAGGAGGAGGAGGAGGAGGAGGAGGGTGTCCAACTCCTCCAGCAGCTTTTCCACCTGCCCTGACAGTCCCTGAGTGCTGCCGTGGGAATGCTGCAGGAACCTCGGGTTCCACCCCAAATCCTGCTCCTGGCCCAGGTGTGGGGCACGAGGGGTTTGGGATTTTTTGGGTTTGTGCTGTGCCCTGAGCTCCCAGGGAGCCGGGCTGGGGTTGGAGGAGGGGTTTGGGATTTTTTGGGTTTGTGCTGTGCCCTGAGCTCCCAGGGAGCCGGGCTGGGGTTGGGGGTCAGGGTGGGCATTGGGGAATTCCTTCCTGGGAAGGGCAAGGCTGGAGTCCCCATCCCTGAGGGCTTTCAGAGCCCTGAGGATGTGGCACTTGGGGACATGGGACAGTGCTGGGGATGGCTGGACTCTGACATCAGAGGGATTTTCCAACCTGAACCATTCCATGATTCCCCCTGCACAAGGGAAGGGAAGGGAAAGGAAGGAGAAAGAAGAAAAGGAAAAAGAAAAGGAAAAAGAAAAGGAAAAAGAAAAGGAAAAAGAAAAGGAAAAAGAAAAGGAGCTGGCTCCATCGGTGCTCCTGGGAGCTCTG